GGAGCTTGACTGCGGTAGCATATTGGTTGCGGTAGCTGAAGTTCAAGAGGGTCACTTTTCATGATTCAACACACTGTTTACTATTATTTTTGATTTTATTGTTATTAAACTCAAATAAATAACAACATCTCGTTTTGAGTTGTAAAAACCACATCAACTATTTTTCATAGCTTCTAGAGATTATATAAGCTTTACAGAAAATTTGTGAGATTTTTCCATAACTGTTTACTATTTTTCCACTATATAATGTTTATTCAAAGGAGTAATTGAGGAAAAATAGCTAAACATATCCAAAATTCATAAAGATTTACCAGGACACTTTTCGGATTTCTTAGTATTAAACACACAGAAATTATACAAATCTGTTTCTACTGTTCAAAAATGACTTTTAATATTTTTCCTTGTTTATGAATGTTGTGAAAATGTTACACAAAAAGTTTAAGAATTTTTCATGATGATTTACGATTTTCCATGATTTTATGAATATTCAAGGGATTTAATGGTGAAAAATAGCTAGACATATCAAATATTCATGAAAATTTAACTTGAAGTCGTCATTAATTTAAGTTAAAACTGAAATATATAGTTTGAGAAATTTTAGACCTGTTTTGGTTGGATTTTTAATATTTAACCCTTGAAGCACCCCTAAAATATTAAAATTACATTACAATTCACATTGCAAAAATGGAATTTTCCACTTAAATTTGTTTTATCAGAAAAATTGATTCATAGAAATCTGAGTTTTTCATAAAATCATTTGTAACTTATACAGAACATAATTTTGAAACAATATTGGCATAATTTTATTGTAGAAATTAAGTATACTAGTATCAGATTTTCGACTAATGACTCACTAGTGTGTACTACTATCATACGGCTTCGGTGTAGTATGATTGGAACACTAATTCAAGTCACCTCTAACACCGTCTCGATTCATTATGAGTATTCACAACCCCTTTTTACTGTTTTTATGTTTTGTGTTGGAAAGCGTGCTACTATTTTATGAACTTGATGAACTTTGTTGTGTGGACTTGCTGAACTTTGTTTTATGAACTTGCTTAACTATGTTCTATAAACTTGCTGAACTTTGTTTTATGAACTTGTTGAACTTGGAATGATGCTATTTTATGAAATCTATGTTATGAAGTTTGTATGTCAAGTCCCGGAGAACTTAATTACAACCTATTAACTCGTATTCACGCCGACATTCATATGGATATCGCTATTTGGGGTAGACAAACCTCGCTCGCTGAGAGCCGTGAGTGCATATTTACGCCAACACACATCATGAGAACCATAGACATGATGGAATGAGGCAGATCACTAATTAGGCTTGGCTGTGAACGGAATATGTTAGCATTCATCATTTTCCTGAATTGACATTTTATATGAACAATTTTTTTTTTCTAAAATAGTTTACTCTTATAAACCTGTGAAATCACCAACTATTTCTATAGTTGAGCCTCATTTTGCATGCTTTTCAAGGAATGTTCAGTGAGCCATTTAAAGACGCCACCATAACTTATGTTTGTTGTTTATGATTTTTACTAAACAATGTTGTATGGAACCGAATGTGTTTTGTTTTGAATGTGATGTAAAATTCAAACGCTCGATGATTATAGTTGGTGTTCCTTTTACCTTGTGTTATGAGACCTTAGCCTGTCACTCTTCATATTTCCGCTTTAATGGGGTGTGACATATTTAAAAAGAATTGTGGGTGTCGAGGACAAAACACACTTCTTAAAAGATGTTTGGTGTGGAAACACGACTTTTAAAGAGATTTTTTTGCCAACTTATATGCAGTTGAAACAAACAAAGATTGTTTAGTTATGGAGAGAGTTGTTGCTGGGGATGTTTCATATTCTCAAAGGTGCTAGAATTGGGCTAGACAGTTGCGAAGAGGGATAGAATCGTCTTAATTTTTTGTTCTTGATAAGTTTGATAGTTTAAATTTTGTAGGAAGCTTTGACATATGGAAGTGGGCTGGTGCTTTTGGCATCCCTTTCTCGGTGAAGGTTGTCAAAAAAAGTGATTTTAGATTCAAAGGTTATCAATTTTTTTAGTATAACTGGATTAATTGGATCCCTTTAAACGTCAACTGTTTTATGTGGCGGTTGTTTAAAAATAGAATTCCAACGTTTGGAAACTTATTGAAGAGGGGAATTGTTGTGACTTCGAGCTTATGCCCTTTTTGTAATGCTACTGATAAAGACCTCGATCATATTTTCTTTTCTTGTGTTGTAGTGGAGTTGTGGATATGATTGTTAGATTGGTCTTTTATCCTTTCCTTACATCCTAGTTGTTGTTCGGAGTTAATTGGGATGGTGAACTGGAGTATAGGTGGGGTAAAAATGAAGAAATTGAGGCTCTATCTTGTGTACAGAAAGTTATGGGTTATTTAGAAGGCTCGAAATTCTAGTATTTTCAAGAATGATCGGTGAACAATTATGACTTTAGCATACAACATTAGTGTGTTAACATTTAATTGGATCAACAATAGATCAAAACTTAGTAGACTTGATTGGTATAATTGGTATGTCTCATATTTTGAACAATTTTCTGTAATCACTAGATCTCCTCGCTCTGGCTCTTTTTGTTTAATGTTATTGCTCGTTGTTTAAAAAATATACAAATGTAACAGGAATCAACATCGAACCACTCGTTTAAATAAATGTAACATGAATCAAACTCGAACTACTCATTTAAATAAAAACAAGACGCCTTTACATCTCATCCATGGTCAAAGAAAACAAATAAGAAAACTCTACTATGTAAAGTATATTTTGATAAAGCCTTGACACGGTGGATTGAGACTATCTTGACTCCATTCTCTCTAAAATGACTTACGACTATAAGTTGAGAAGATGGATTAAGGGGTGCATGCGGGCATCTAGAGATTCAGTGATCGTGAATGGTTCCCCGACCGACGAGTTTGACATTAGGGTGTTCATCAAAGAGACACGCTGTCTTCATTTCTGTTTATCTTAGCCATGGGAAGGGATGAATGATGTGATGAAAACGACGAGAGAGAAAGGTATCTTTGATGGCGTACAACTTCCCAATAATGGGTCGATGATTTCACATCTCTTCTACGCAGATGATGCTTTATTTATTGGTGAATGGTCTAAAAGGAATATTAGGAACTTAGCTCGGATACTTCAATGCTTTTATGGTTCTTCTGGACATAAACTCAATTTTCACATGTCCAAAGTTTTCGGTATTGGAGCTACCTCATTGGAAACAACCATCTGGGCCTATATTCTCGGTTGTGAGCCCTCTTATCTCCCCTTCAAATACTTACGTTTCTTGGTTGGTGCGAATATGAACATCAAGAGAAATTTTAAACCAATCATCAAGAGATTCTAAGCAAACTATCAGATTGGAAGGCCAAAAACTTGTATTTTTTAGGGCGTCAAACACTGATTCGGTCGTTGTTAGGCAATCTCCCTACTTACTATTTTTCACTTTTTGTTGCACCTGTACGTGTGAGTTTTCAATTGGAAAAGCTAAGACGAAAATTTCTATGGGGAAGTACGGAAGACAATAAGAATATCAGCTGGGTATCATGGAGTAAGATAACTACAACTAAGGAGGATGGAGGTGTTGGGGTGAGTTTGATAGGTGATCTCAATATTGCTCTCATATAAGTGGTGGTGGAGAGTAAAGGTGGAGAAAAACTCGTTGTGGAACAAATTAGTCACAAACAGACACAACTTGGATTCTAGACCAGCATATAATCTGTCTAATAATACAATATTGGGTGTATGGAACAATATAGCCAGAGTCAAGGGCGAGTTGGTCAAACGTGACATTCCAATGAGTGCAATCAATAGAAGAACAATCAACTCTAGAGAAGAAACTTTATTTTGGAGAGACGATTGGCTAGGCAGCAAACCGTTGAAACTTACAGTTACCAAGCTTTGTCTTTTGGAATCGCAAAAGAAATGCGAGATCAATGATCGAATCTACAATGGAGGATTCTCTTGGTCTTGGTCACGTCAACCGCATCCACAACAAGTCAACCAGCTTATAAAAACTCTTGGGTCCATATGTCTAAACTCAAACAGAGTCTCATGGGCTTGTGGTTTAGCAACAAATGGTTGCTTCTCTATTGATGTGTGTAAGCGTTGGCTGAAATCAACACTGAGTGGGTCGGGTAATTGCTCCTTTATTCGGCTAGAAGAAATGTTTATAAAGGTGTCATGCTTTGTTTGATTTGTTGTTCAAAATCGTATCCCTCCGTCTTGGTTCTCAAACATCGTGAAATTAATGTAGCTTCGGTGACTTGTGGGGAATGTAACATGGAAGAGGAATCTGCTGATCACCTTCTATGTGAGTGTTCTTTGGCTAGAGTTATTTGGGAGCGGATTTTTAGATAGTGCGGTATATTAGTGCCTCATTTTGATAAAACAAGTGATGTGTTGGAGTTTGCTGCAGCCTGAGAAAACTGCCCAAAGAAGCAAAAGATTTTGGTGGGTGTTTGTTACAAAACGATTTGGAATTATGGAAAGCGAAAAGAAAAAAAAAAAAACTTTCGATCAAACTCGGATTACTCCTACAGTTGGGAACATTATCAAGTCAAGGTGCTCATTTGGTTCAAACATAGAAACAATGGGGGTGCTTATAATTGGGTATAGATCGATGTAAAAGTTTATCATGTAATAGGCTTCTTTTTCTTTGTGGAGGGGGTGTGTCCCGTGATGTTTGGTTTTGTCTCTCTTATTCTCTACATATATAGTTGCTTGCTAGGTGGTGCTTCTTCTTTTCCCTAATAAAATTTGCTGGCCCTAAAAAAAAGATAAATATACTATTAACTTTTAACACAAGAAACTTATATTAAATGCATCAATTAATTTTGGTTCCCCAATTATCGTGAGGCCACTGCGATCGCAGCATACTTAGCCACCCTAATGGGTCGGGCCTAAACGTTATCCAGTTGACTATATGATCTATGTTAGACATTGTCGTGTGCTTTCTGACCACCAAAACGATCACCCGAAATGACAAGCCAACGGAAAATCCTTATTGTCGCCTACTCAGGGCAAGGCCACGTCAACCCAGCCATCCGGTTCGCCACCCGGTTAATCAAGATGGGTGTCGCTGTCACCGTTTGCACCAGTGAATCCGTCGTACGCCGCATCGACAAAGAAACCATCCCTCACGGCCTAACCTTTGCTCCATTTTCCGACGGCCACGACGGTGGCAAACAACCGACAACCCCCCTGGAACAGTTCGTCTCTGATTTTGCTACATACGGTGCTTCTGCAGTCGCAGAAAGCATCAGCTCCGCCGCAGCTGCTGGTCAACTGTTTAACCACTTGGTCTACACAACCGTCATCCCCTGGGCGGCGCGTGTTGCTGATGCCCATGGTGTCAAAGCGAGTCTTCTCTGGTGTCAACCGGCCGCTGTCTTGGATAGTTACTACTATTATTTCAATGGATATCAAGAACTGATATCCAGTAACGGAAACAACCTGACTTTTCCGATCAACTTTCCTGGAATGCCACCGTTAACCATCGGTGATTTACCGTCGTTCCTTTTAACCACAAACCCAAAGGAACACGAGTTTCTTATACCACTTATGAAAGATCATGTTGATGTCCTCAAACTAGGTAAAAGAATACTTGTTAATAGTTTTAATGAGCTAGAAGTCCAATCCCTCGGAGCAATCAAGCAAATTGAGTACCTTCCGATTGGACCCCTAATCCCTTCGGAGTTCTTGAACGGAGAAGACTCATCGGACAATTCCTTGGGGGAGGATTTCTTCGACAAAAAAGAGGATGAGTATATCCAATGGTTAAACACAAAACCCAAATCGTCTGTCGTGTATGTTTCATTTGGAACAATAGCGAGTTTTTCTATGGATCAAATGGAGGAGATGGCTATCGGGTTGCTGGAGAGCCGGCGACCATTTTTATGGGTGATAAGAGATAGTGAGCAAGCGGGAAGATTGAGCAAGATAGAGGAACTGAAAAAACATGGGATGATCGTGGGTTGGTGTTCTCAGGCGGTGGTGTTGAGCCACCAAGCAATTGGGTGTTTTGTAATGCATTGTGGGTGGAATTCGACGGCGGAGACGTTGGTGGCTGGTGTTCCTGCGGTGGTGTTTCCACAGTGGTCCGATCAGCCGACCAACGCCAAGTTGCTGGAAGATGTGTGGAAAACGGGGGTTAGGGTGAGGAGGAGGGAGAGAGATGGAGTGGTGGAAGGGAAGGAGATTGAGAGGTGTGTGAAAATGGTGATGGGAGATGATGATATAAAGAAAAATGCAGTGAAATGGAGAGAGTTGGCAAGAGAAGCTCTCAACAATGGCGGATCATCCACCATCAACCTCCTAGCTTTCTTGGACGAGGTTTGAAATTCGAAATTAGGAAAACCTGTTTTAATTGGATAAAGGTATGTAATTGTGTAATAGTTTTATAAAAAAAAATCATTATGTATGTTGAAGTAATCGCAACTTATTGATAACAAAGAATATGTCAGATTATAGTCCATATGTAACGATGTTTGTGTTTTTAAAGTTGTTACACTTAATAAATTAGCCTACATTAGACACCCTCGTGTTTATTGCCGGCATTTATAGTGTATTATGGAGGGAAAATGACTTTATTTTATAACCATTCTTGTGGCCATTGTATAACAATTACCAAATTTGTAAATAGTGCTCCTTTTTATTCATCTTCTCCCGACTCATGCTTCTCCCAGCCTCTCCTCTTCCGCCACCTCTGTTTTGACACCATGTTCTAATTTGGCCACTTGCTCCCATATGTGTTCTCTTCACCTTCTACCCCTTTCCCTTTGGCCACCAGCTACTATTAATCATGCATCACCATCTCCCTCCATGCCTCTCTAAAAATTAGTTTCTTACTCTTCCCGTAAATAATCGATGTTTTATTCTTCCTCGTTTCAGTTAATAGCCTTAATTTGAAGTTGCCTAATCTTAATTACTGTTGCTACGAAGTTCCATCATTCCTTTCCCCATCAGAAATGCTTTCCTAGGCAAAAAAGATTCATCTCTTATTTTTTGTTTAACGATTTTGTACGATTCAACGGTTAAGTTTTGCTTCGTTAGTTTTATGATATTTGGTTTAATTGTTGTTCGGGCGGTTCATTTGTAGTGCATCCATAATGCATTAAACTTTATAGAGTCAATTGATTGCCACATTATTTTTCTATATTCCTTACAATTCATTCAATTTTCTCCTACAATATTAAACTTTACAAATTTCAAGACAGGATTATAAAAGCTAATTTATAGTATATAATGATGAATTGAAAAACCTTTCAAGACAGGATTATAAAAGCTAATTTATAGTATATAATGATGAATTGAAAAACCTTCTTTTTTTTAAAGGGAATCATTATTTACTTTCCCAGCAAATTTTCTTATTCCTCAATTCAAATCCTTATTATTATCTATCCTAATAGTTTCCTATTTTCTCTAGGTTTGTTTTTCAACTTGTATATATACCCTTTGAGGTATCAATTTTATTTTAACAAGAAATATAGAAACCAAATTCCGATTTCTATATGGTATCATAGCGGGATACACAACTAAGATCCTGCTAATCAATTATACAATCAAACCCTCCTAATCGATCATGAGAGGACAGACTCCTGGCGACTCTTCTTCCAACGCAAACCCATCATCAGATCCCGGCTCGCCCTTCTACATTCATCCCACTGACTACCCTCGACAGATCCATGTCAATGAAATTCTCAGTGACAGCAACTATGTCGACTGGTCAAGAGAAATGAATGAATTTCTCTTGGCAAAGAACAAATTAGGTTTCGTTGATGGATCTATCGCTAAACTAACACAAGACGGCTTGGAGCTCAAAGCATGGGAACGTTGTGATGCTCTAATACGAGGATGGATGACGGCTGCAATGCAGAAAGATATACGCAACAACGTCAAATTCGCCAACACATCTCAAGAAGTTTGGGAAGATCTTGAAGAACGTCTCGGAAAAGAAAGTGCATCTCACGCTTATGAATTGAAGTGGGCACAAATGATTTTGAGACAAGATAATGCTTTCGTATCAACTTATTTCACTAAGTTGAGAGCCATCTGGGACGAAATGCAAATTGTTTTGCCAATTCCAAGGTGCACTTGCGGAGAGTGTACTTGTGACCTTGGAAAACGAATCATTGGTTCATGAGAAAAAGAACGCGTTTACAAGTTCCTTATGGGACTCGATGAGATCTTTGGGACTGTTAAAACCCAAATCCTAAGCACCAAACCGATGCCAAGCCTTGGAACTACGTACCACCTAGTTGCAGAAGACGAACAACAACGAACCATCCCAGCGTCGAGAAGAACAACAGCCGACGTTGCAGCCTATCAGGTGCGAAATCAAATGCCGGAGAAAATAAATCAAGAAAAACGAGTTAACTCTCGTGAAGGCTCCAAATGCAAGCACTGTGGAAAGAATGGACACATTATAGATGGATGCTTCGAGAAGATCGGATACCCAGATTAGTGGGATTCTCACTAGCGAAAGCAGCCACGGGATCAACGAAAAACATCCAAACCAAAACCAAGGGCAAAAATGTTGAAGTCGAGTCTAGTCCTATACTTGGGCCCAACTTTGAACAATACTCAAGACTAATCAAACAACTAATTGGACCCTCAACAAAAACAAAAGTCAACATGGTTGGTAAGTTTAATTTCAATACCCCTTGGATTATCGATTCTGGTGTTACTCAAAACATTGTCTGCATCAAATCAACCTTCTCAAGCATAAGGAATTCAAACGAAGCAACCCCAGTCATCATACCAAATGGCGATAATGTCCCAGTTGAAGGTATTGGAACCGCATGTCTACCAAACAATACAAAGATTGATCACGTTTTATATATTCCTGATTTTAGATACAATTTATTTTCTATCGGTAAATTTACAAAAGATTTCAATTGTTTTATGACCTTCTACTCAGATTCTTGCCTCATACAGTACTTACATTCGAGGAAGTTGGTTGGCACGGGGAGATGTAAAAATGGTCTATATTAATTAGAAGGAACGGATAGAAGAATTGCAACAATGGCAGTTAAAGTCAACTCAGATCTTTGGCACAGAAGGTTAGGGCATGCATCCAACAATAAAATACATCAAATTGATTCCATAGGAAAAATAGTTAGCATAGAACATTGTGATTCTTGTGTAAAGGCAAAACAAACCCGACTTCCTTTTCCAGATAGTTCTATTAAATCTACTAGTTGTTTTGATCTTATATATTGCGATATTTGGGAAGCATGTTGATTAGCCTCTACTTCAGGGGCTCATTATTTTTTAACAATTGTTGATGATTTTAGTCGATGCATATAGGTATATTGATCAAAAATAAGACTGATGCAAGAACTAGTTTGATGGTTTTTTGTAAAATGATAAACACACAATTTGGAAAGGGAGTTAAGAAAACCCGGAGTAATAATGGTGGTGAGTTTTTTTCGAACCAGATGATAAAATATTATGAAGATAATGGAATCATTCATGAAACATCATGTAGACATACACTCCAATAGAATGAGGTTGTTGATAGAAAGCACCGACATTTTTTGGAAGTGGGAAGAGCCTTGCGTTTTGAGGAAAATTTACCCATAAAGTTTTAAGGAGAATATGTTTTTACAGCCACTTACATCATCAATATATTATCATCCAAAGTCATGAAGAACAAAAAACTCCTTATGAACTCTTGTTTGATCGAAAACCACATTATGACCATATGAGAGTTTTTGGTTGTTTGGTATATGCAAAAGAAAACAAAGCATCAAAGAATAAGTTTGAAGAAAGGGGAGCCATTGTGTTTTTCTCGGTTACCCACCAGTGCAAAAGGGTTATCAAGTTTGTAATCTAAAGGAGAAAATATGTGTGTTTCAAGAGATGTGAAGTTCATAGAGTATCAAGATCCTTTTCACACCATCCAAGACAAACAAACTCCCAATCTTGACATTGAGAATGATTTTTCTAGTTCCATTTTTTGGCCAATGACACCCAACCAATAACAATCGTCTACACCAGACACACTAATGCACAACCTGAGACAAATATTGATTAAACACAACCCACACAAACCAAGAACAAGGAAGATGTTATTATTGAAAGTCCAAATGAAGGAAATGAGCAGCATGATCCCACGTCAGACACTATTCCCATGCAACACCATCAACCAGAAAGAACTAAAACACTGCCTCAATGATTTGGTGACTATGAAGTTCAACTCCCACCTTCTATAGATCATTATCTTCCCAATCCCAATTCAACATCCCTGACGGTACATCCCTTGCCTCATTTTGTTTCTTATAAAATTTTTTCTAACACTCATAAAGCTTTATTGGCTGCCATCTCCACACACGATGAGCTGAAACACTTTTCTCATGTAGTCAAAGATACGAAATAGCGAGAAGCTATGAAAAATGAAATCCATGCCCTTGAAAATAATAAAACTTGGATCTTGATAAATCTCCCTTCAAGAAAGAAAGCAATTGATTCCAAATGGGTTTACAAGATAAAATACAAAGCCAATGGTGTAGTTGAGTGTTATAAAGCACGTTTAGTCGTGAAAGGCTTTACCCAAATTGAAGTTCTTGATTTTCATGAAACATTTGCACCGATTGAAAATTTTGTGACAGTTCGAACAATATTGGCAGTAGCAGTTAAACAAAAATGGAGCATCCATCAACTCGACGTTAACAATGATTTCCTGCATGGTGATTTAGAGGAGGAAGTCTATATGAAATTGCCACTAGGTTTCATTAAAACAGGTGATACATACGTCTACAAACTTCAAAATTCCTTGTATGGGTTACGCAAGCATCACATAACTGGTATGAAACGTTTACTGATGCTTTGTTGAGTATGGGTTTTCAACACTCTAAACCCGATCATTCTCTCTTCATCTTCAAAACACCATCCATTTTTTTGGCTGCTCTCATCTACGTCGATGATATAATTCTCCTTAGAAATGATATTGACTGTATTGCTAAAATTAAAGCTTATCTGTATAAACGTTTTTGCATCAAAGATTTGGGCCCACTGAAGTTCTTTCTTGGAGTTGAGGCGGTTAGAACTCCGGATGGAATGGTTCTTAGCCAACGCAAATATACATTGGATATTCTGGCAGATTGTGGACTTCAAGGCTGTCGACCTAGTGCCTTTCCAATGGAGCAAAACCTTCTTTTTGATAAAGGAGATGAAACTCATTTTGCCAATGCAAGTCAATTTCGGGGACTTATTGGACGTCTTTTATACCTACAAGTTACATGTCCAGACATCACACTTGCTGTCAATACCTTAAGTCAATTTGTTTCTACTCCACGACAACTACATTACGATGTCGTTCTTCATGTCCGACATTA